TGCGTCTAACAAAAAATCCTTTCTTCTTCTAACTTTTTGATCTTCCCATTTATTCCTTGCAGACCCTTCTTCCTTTAATTCTTTCCATTCTACGAATGGATAATCTATAATAATTTATAAATTTAGTTTGGCTAGTTGTTCTCGGATAACTCCAGTTCCAGTAAAAAATCTCCCGATCTCGAAACGTATCAAAGCATTGGGTAGTAAAATGAGTTTTTTAGCAATGAGTTTTTATTTTATTGGACATGGCCAAATTAAATATTTTAGTAAGAAAATGAGTTTTTTAGCAATGGGCCGAGCAAAAGAAAATTTGGATAGGATTTTATAGGAGCTCCCCCCCCCCCCCCCCCCTCCTTCAAAATCGGATGTGAAAGTTTACTTTCATCCGATAAGAGTCAAGGGGCTTCTGTGGGTGATTCTATAACCGCACGTAGCCCAATTGACTTAATGATAGCCGTGTATTACACGAAACCACTTTAATTATGAGTTGAGGGATGCGTAAGGGCTCTAAAATACCTTATGCACATTATTCTATTAGAAAGAGACTAATCCTTGAACTTTAATTGAGCCTAACAGACTTTTGCAATTCCATGCGGTCAAAAAAATTACAGTAGATTTTGGGTTGTGTCTCAAAACTAGTTTTTTTGTTCTCAAAATACAAATTTTTGTGAGATGATGTTTGGTTATCAATTTCTAAAAACAAATTTTCAAAAAAAATTGAGAATGAGAACAAAAAATAGACTATGAGTTTTTCAAGCGAAAATAGAAAAACAAGGGAAACAACTTCTCCCTTTTAATGAGGTCCACCCATCGAATTTCCTTAGTAGCAAAACACATTTTTTCGTTGAAGTATAAAAGCCTTCACTTAAATGTTTTCTCCATCTCATCTCATCTCTCTCTCTCTCTCTCTGTGCAACGATTGTTGTGCTGCTTAAACGATCGTTGTGTCTTTTTTTTTTTGCATCTGGGTTCAAGATATGGTTTCAAACATATTTTTGGCATCTGGCTTCAGATCTTGAAGGAGATACACGCAATGAGTTTTTTTTTTGGCATCTAGTTTCAAATCTTGAAGTATGTTGATTGATTTATGAGTTACAAATTTTGGGTTACGAATTTGATTTATGACATCTGATTTTTTTCTTGATCTATCTTCTCTCTCTCGTCTACTCTCTCTCTCTCTTTCTCTCTCTCTCTCTCGTATCCTCTCACTCAACAATATATATATATATATATATATATATATATATATATATATATATATAGATATATGTACAGATCTATATATGTACATATATGTGGTTGTCTTTGTGTGTGAGTGTGTGTATATGTGTATGTTTTTACTGTGTGTGTATTTTACTTTGTGTGTATGTTTTGTGGAGAGATAGAAAGGGAGGGATGAGAATTGGAAATTTTGTGGATTATTATCCAAACAAGTTTTATAATTTTTGTTCTTTAAAACTATATACCAAATAAGTTTTGCAATTTAAAATTTTTTAAAAACACTTCTCAAAAAACTGTTTTCGTATAATATTTTTTGAGACGCAAACTAAACAGGCCTACATTTAACTCTGAGCACTGAAATGCCAGAGCTAATGCCAAAATTATGCATCCAAAGACAATGCTAAAATTATGAAAAAAATTTGATCCCTAACCACTGAAATAACAAATTCACATTTTCACAAAATGATACATATTCTTCTATTTAAAGGTAAATTATACCAATAATCTCTAAAGTTTATCACTCATCTTTAAAGTTTTAATTTCGTCCCCAAAATTCAAACATTGAACTATATGGTCCTTAAGAGCTGGGTAGGCCTTTGGGCCTAGGTGGTGATGGACTGGGGTTATCCCACATCGGATAACCTTTGGGTGTGTGTGGTTTATATGGATGTTGCAGAATTTCACTTTTAAGTGAAAGTGTTGTAGTTATCATGTGGATAAAAAAAAAAGAACTATATGGTCCTTAGCACTAACTTCTGCTAAAAAAACAGAAACAAAAAATACACGTGCATGTCACATGCAACTCTTGAGGGATATTTTGGTATTTATAGACAAAATAGACAACTATCCAAGTCACTTGTTTCCATTTGCTCATTTGGAAAGGAGTCGCACTATTTTTGACAATTGGGTTTTGTTATATATAGATTTGAAGAAAGGGATTAATAAGAAGAAAGAGAAAATAGCTTGAAATAAATTACAGACGGTGGGTTCTATGGGTTTGGCTCATCTGCTTTTCCTTGGTAACAGTAGGTTGTGCTGTTTGCCCAAAACGATGCCGCATCAATGAAGACCTTATTCCCTCTAATCTTTTTTTATGGTGGTCAGAATTTTTCAATAATATTCTCTTCACTCTGTCTCTGTAATACCCATTTTCCTTGTCAAACCAGTGAGCCATCACCGCGTCTTGACACTCAAAAACTCCATCGCCATTGTTAGCACTTTAAGACAGATGCAACTTGATTTTTAATTTTCAACTTATAGAAGACAAAGATATGTTCCTCTAATCTTTTTTTTTCTTTTACCCACAAAAAAAGGCATGGTGAATGAAGTTTATTTGAAGTGCCTACTTATACACACCGTAGGTTAGAATGAACCAAAGTAGGAAAACCCTACCTCTTGAAGCATAAATGAATACTAGAACCTCCAAGAACACCCCCAAAAACTCAAGACTTTGATTTTTCTAAAATCTCGCCTTTAATCTTCGGTGAAAATCTTTGTTCTTGGTACCCACGCGTAGCCCTCGTCGCGTAGAGCAACTTTAATTCTTGGCTCGATCGATTCCGACTGACGGATCTTCGAGAAATCGAAGGAGAAGGCTTAAGATTTTTGTTTTTCCCTCTTTGCTCTCTTTTCTCTCTTAATCTCTGATACAGATGGTCATAGGGGAGGAAAAAGCTGATATTTAAGATATTTTACCCTTATTTATAGTTTTAAAGACTTGGCCCTCGTCGCGCCAAGTGTCCTATTTTATTTGGGTCCGTTTTTCACTCTGAAACGATTAAATTTCGTACAGGTTTAAGCTCAAAATATTTTATATGAATTTTATTTAAAATATTTTTCAAATTTTAAAATTTTTATAAAAATTTCATTTTTGGGGTCATCGGACACCCGTCACCTTGAAAAACGTAAAAAATCTAACTATTTCAGAATTTGACGAAATTTATCTAGGTAACTAGATTTTGCGAGACGAGTCCAATGGTGAGGTCCATTTCATCATCCGAGGTCTAGAAAAATACCAGCTTTCAACCCGCACTATAATGACAAATTACCATTTTACCCTTTTTTTTTTTATAAAAAGTTTAAATTTTCTCGGATTTCACATGGATTGCCTCCCAATTAGCGCTTGTTTTATAGTCTTCAACCTGACTACTTCCTATTTTATCCCGAGTCGACAAGGGTAATTGAGGTATTTTCATGGTCCATGTCCCCGCCCCAATATTGTTTCAGTTTTTGCCCGTTCACCTTAAAAGTTCTTTTGAAATTGGCTTCATTGACTTCAACCGCTCCATGTGGGGACACCTTCTCTTTATATGGCTTACCGTTCTCAAGAGGATCTGAAATACAACTTCCTACGAATACCTCATTCACTACATTTTCCACCAAATCAACCCGAATACATTCTTCCTGTTCCTTCTTCATAGCTAAAAATACATTGATAAGTGTTCTCCCTGTTGATAGCTAAAAATACATTGATAGCTAAAAATACATTAGCTCACAATTTTGTACATCGATAAATGTTCTCCCTGTTGCTAAGAATGGTAGACCAAGAATAATAGGTATTTCTCTATCTTCCGCACAATCTAAGACTATGAAATCAGTTGAAAAAATGCACTTATTCACTTTAACTAGAATGTCCTCAACTATGCCCATTGGATAAGTGAGTGATCTATATGCAAGCTACAATATAACATTAGTCGGCTTCGCTTCCTCAAACCCAATTGTTTATAAATTGAGAGTGGCATCAAGTTGATACTAGTTCCCAGTCAAACAATGTTTTCTCAAAAAATTGGATGCCTATTGTGCATGGAATTGTAAAGCTACCCGGATCTTTGAGCTTGGTGGTAGCTTCTTTTGAAAAATAGCACTGCACTCCTCTGTAAGTGCCACTGTCTCAAAATCGCCTAATTTTCTCTTCTTTGA